GTCTGCTGAACCAGCCTACCTTGTGTGTACCAGGTTGTCATGCTGTGACTCTATGCATATAACCTGCATTAGCTCTCTGAGTACCAGCATGAGATGTCCCATTCCCCAAGCTCTAAGAGCACATTTCCTATCAAACACGTTGAGGAATCAATGTTGCAGAGTCCTTTGAAGGAACCCTTGGGAAAGGAAAATAGCAATATCCCCCTTCTCCCTTCTGACCTCACCAGAAAGAAGATCTAGAAGAGCTTCTCTGAGTTCTGTCTGTGGATTTAAAGGAGCAAGTTATATAACCTCTCATTTTTTGTGCTTGTAGTAATACCTAAATACCTATATAACTACACAAGAATATTTCAAAGGTTCCTCAGTGGGAAAAATGGATGGGAGAGAGCTTTGAACAGAAAGCAGTAAAAAAAAAAAAAAAAAAAAAAAAAAAAGCTCTTACCACCGATTCTCTCATCTTTTCTGGGAGTGGATCTGCTGATGAATCTTCAAATTGTTGACGTAGAAAGTGAGGGACATATTTGCATTGAATAAGGGACCTGTCAAAAAAAAAAAGAAAATCCTAGTTAGGATACTTCTGAACATATCTAACAGATACAAATATTCCTGAGGGACAGTGGAGGAGGAACAGCCTCCAATTTCCTTCCTCATGTATGCAGTAGCTACCTTATCTCTCTAGAGCCAGACACTGACACAAACCAGCTATATCTGTGATCAGAGCAGAACATCCTTGTCAAAATGTTAAAGACCCTCAGCCATCCAGTCAATGTAACTCAGTCATTTAGAGGAACAAGCAGAAAGGGTACTGCTGCATTCATACCCTTTAACTTTCAGCAAAGCTGAAACCAATACAGGAGCTGTTTAGATTCACATTAGAAAGGTCAAAGAAGCTATTTCTCTATAAATTGTGTATTAATCCTTGGTTCCAGAATTATGTGTTTCCTCCTCCATCTCTACATTCATGCCACAGGCCATCCCTAAAATACTGCTTCCAATCTCCTTAACTTCCTTTAATTAAGTTCAGAGCTGTTTAAAAAAATCTTAAACATGTTGGGTTTTTTTTTAAGATAATACTTTTTTATCATAATTAATCAATAATCATAATAATCAATAAATACTTGATGTACACATCCTTAATTTTAAGAGATTTAACAACCATTTCATCTCCTGAAATTTTATTAAGAATCTTACAAATTTGGTAGCTAGATTTAAAAGTTAAAATGGATTTAATGGTTTAAGATTACTTCCTTAAAACAAATCTTAAGAAAAGACAAGTTTGTTTTTTTTAAACAGAAGTTAATGAACTGGTGTGTCCTTCCTGGAGAGTGGGAAAGAGAAAGACATTTAAATTACTTGAAAATTGAATGAGCTCACACTTCCATGCTGATTTGCAATTTACCTGTGGATATTTTACTCCAAGGCTAAACAAATCTCCCTAATACAGCACACAGCTTCCTTTCGTTCCATACTGGAGCTCCATACTGTAACAGTGGATGAACTACAGGCCATCTACACAAAGCTTGATCCAGGTCTAACTGACATCTGTGCCAGGCACAGTAGGCTTTGGATAAAGTTAATGACAATAGACAAAAGCAATTCTTGCTGCTTTGCCACATCAGGACCTGGTTATGTATAAGTATCAGATTCCCTGAAACTTCTGGATGGTAAAGAAGGAACTTCTTAACTCTTCAGTATGATTTATCAGGATGCCAATTTTCTACTAGTGCCCTATATACTAGTTTCATTACTAGTTTCTCTCCTAAATTATAACCTTGTATGACCTAAAAAGCCCTCCACTTCCCCCTTCTCTCTCCTGCATTACAAAACTATGCAAACAAACACCCTGACTTATCATACAGCCTTTATGTACTAAAGAGCCTCACCATCAAGACACACAAGACACCTTGTGAACCAAAGGAGAAGACTTGTTTGTTTCCTCAAAGACCCTTTGTACTAGGATAAGACTGAGCTGTCCCTGAAGCAGAATCCCAGATGGCATGGTTAAACTGGCTACACAAATCTCACTTGCTTACTTAATCCCACAGCCATATACCTAGATACCCAGCTGCTTGTGGACCACCACAGCCCCCATGACAACCATATAGCACCACCCCCACACAGGATAACTCATGTCTGCTGCCACTGAGCTATGAATCTATGGATTTCTCATATCGCCTCAAGCTGCAGACCACCATGCTGGGACTTTTCCACTGTTTGCAATGTCAGCTCTTAATACTCAGTATTTTTCCTCAATTAACTCTAGCAGATCATGTCAGAGGAGAAAAGGATGAAGTTAAACTCAGAGAGGCACAGCCTACTGGCAGTGACCCTCAGCAAGAGCTGGAATTGAGCCATCTTCCCAGCACACCAAATGTCCTTTATCCTTGCCATGGTGCTACCCAATGCACATTCTGCAACTGCAGTAGCCTGAGAGCCCCCTCAGCTAAATCACTATCTTCCAACATGGCAAATGTACAGTTTCCCAGAGGCTGATATCTGCTTCAGAGAATTTGGATACTGCTGTTCAAAGAGCACCAGCCTCACTGGCATTCTGACTGCAGCACTTCATTTATTTACAGGACTGATGCCAACCAGGCAGACATGCGAGGAATTTCCACCTCACTGCAGTACAACCACAGAGACAATCCCTGTGGTTCTGAAAACCAGGCATGGCTCTGGTTGTCTGCTGTACAGCTTAATCAATAAATAACATTTGCAGGCAACTTACATCAGTACAGACGGGTCACTGCTTTGTCTGCTGAGGTGATAAGAAAGTGCAACTAGCAGACCACAGAAAGCAGAAAACAGTGCTGGAATGTGTTGTGCATCCCAGGGCTCCTGAACAGAAGGACAGAAAGCAAAATCTTTGTAAGTTAGAAATGTAGAACATTTTTTTATTATTATTTAAGTAGGCTAAGCCATATATACAGTGTTAAATGCACAGCATCTAGACTTGTACACCATCTACCAAGGACTAAAAATAATTTTTCATATCAAATTCTACTGTTGTGAAAAAGACTGCAATTAGAGGCATGCTTTGTGATCATATTATGTAATTCCTCTGTAATCATCAATTAGCTAGGAAACCACATGAAAGGCAGGTTTTCTTTCCTCTTTAATGAAACACTAGAGGCAAATTCTCATTAAAATGAGAGGCAAGTGAAATGAACAGCACTGTATTTCTCTAAACTCTAAATTAATATGTAGTTACTTGACCTGTGGCCAGATTGTATGCAACAAATACCTATGTCGTCTAAATCAGCTCTGGCACCTTGCTCTGAAATCTTTCTGTTGCTTTGTGCATTATATCCAGGTCCTGCTGCCTGGAGGATAACACAGTGGAGAGGGAGAGCACTCGGCACCATACATGACATCCCAAGTAAGGAAAGAAGAGACAATTTACACTTGCCACACACTCTGGGCATCACCAAGATGAGAAACTGTCTCTGGGAGATTAAAACAGCTAAAATTGCCCAGAAATAATAAGAGAAAGAGCATGACACTTAGGGAACACTTGCGGAGTCCTCAGCCACACGTTAGGGATCCTAAAACATACTTGAAAGTCTTGGCTGTAAAAGGACACAGAAGCTCACTGAAACACACTCATAGCCATTTCACTTATTAGGCTTGTTCAATGCCTCCACACAATCTCTACTGATCAAGTGCATGTGAGATTACCGGATCTGGACATTAGAGCACTTTCTGGTTAGGTTTTGAGAGATGGTGCTTTAAGCCTTGTTCAGCTAATACAAACAAGGCAACTTCACAGCTTGTGCAGGACCAGTATTTTCACAGAGTGAAGTATATTATTCATCCTACTTCACCAAGTGATATGCATTTCTTAGCAAAGCTGACTCACATTAAGAAAGACTTCAATTCTTTCAGGGGCAATGAATACCTGGGTAAGACAAACTAATTTAGTGTCAAGGGACAAACCTCCTTCTGCAACTGAGGTTTCTTTGGAATTTAACAATGAAATTCCCATTATCCTAAGAACTGCTATCACAGAATTGAAATTTTAATTTCAAGAATGACCTTCCCCTCATCATACTACTGAATATCACAACAAAGAAAGAAAGGAGTGCCTAGTGCTGTCAAACAATCTTACCCAAGCCAGTCATCACAAACAAAAGAGAGACTTACACTGTATTACTGAAGGAATCCAGCACCAATTGTTTGACATGTTAAACTCTGCCATCCAACTCCATTCATTGTTCCCAGTTTTGGGACCAAATACATTTTGAGCTAACTTTTCCCATGCTTAGTGTCAGGGAAGAAATTAATACTCTTAAAAGCCCTGAAGAAAACTAACTAGAGTCAAAATGTTCTGCAAATGACTGAATCACAGTCTATCCAGATTTCCAGGACAACACAACTGCATACAGATCCACCCAGTAGCTTCTAGTACATGACTGCCCCTTTGCCCTGCAAATCATTCCAAAAGAAAAAGACTACAACCAGCCCAGCAATATACTTGGAATTGAAATGTATCCATAGCCACTTAGAGAAATCATTCTGCCCTTTTTCTACTGTAACACTATACATGGTTGATTCCTCATCTCCGCATCTCAGGAACTCTTTACTTCCATGTTTTCTGTATATCACACACAGCTTCTGCATTTAGCTGGCCTGTGCTCCAGTTCCAAAGTGTCATTGTCCTCTCAAAGCTCAGCTGTCAGGAAGCCAGGAAGGCATCAATATTTGCTGTGTGTCTAGAGAGCAGGACTTTTCAGAACAATGCTATGTTGTTGTAAAAAGATGAAAATGAAAAAAAGGTGTTCTTTCTCCAGCATCACAATATACTTTGCTTCAATTTGTTATTTTCTTCCTCCACTCATGATGCCTGGTAGAGATTTAAAGACAGAAGACAGAAAAAACAATATAGCTGATAATTGGACAATTATTCTTCTTAGTGGGAAAACAGGAATGACAAGTTTTAGTCTTAGAAGCTGGTATCATGTGTCATACTAGACAGGCGGTTTGACTACCTCATCTGGTTGAGGTGACATGTAGTGCTCTCACACACAGTTTTGACTTTGCTGTAGACACTCAGATAGCCATTTTTAAAACAAGTGAAATGGATGTACAGGGTTAAGGATGAAAGCAATGAGTTACAAAAGACCCAGTAGTCTAGGGGTGGTGTTCCTTTTCAACCACAGAATCATCTAATCCCAAAACAACCCACTAAAAAGAAAGATAAAGGTGTCTTTGAACTTAAAAGCTTTTTACCACCAGTAAAGGTGGGGAGGCAAATGTACTTTTAAAAAGTGGCAGTAGTAGTTTTCTGTCCTACATTATTTATCCTTTTTGCTTCTTTCTTCCTCTAAAAAAATGTATGTAGCAAATTCTTGCCTTTCAAAGATATGCTAAAATAAATCATATGTCCTACTCCAGAGACATAAAGTTCACTGAAAGAGAAGAACCACTGTGGTAATCAGAAATTGTAGCTACATTTTTAAAAAAAACAACAAACAAACATACCTCTCTACTCAAAGACTGCAGACAGCTGCAGTATTAGTATCATTGAAGGTGTTTGCATACCAACTGGCTTTTTAAATATAGAGACAAACTCCAATTGTGCTTCACAAAGAACAGACATTTAACTTTCCACTCTCTTGAGATTTCATCATTACTCAACTACTTCTTTTTTTTTGGGGGGGGGTGGGGTCTTTCCCCTACTTCCACTTCCCAGCTTCATCACAGATCAGCTATTGCTGATATCAAACAACACGCAGGACAGCTGTTGATGGCCAGCTATTCTACATGTGTGATGGTAAATTGAAAGAAATACCATCATCCTATTTCTGAACATATAAAAACCTTCTGACTGAGACCGTCAGATTCCCCTCCCCACCCCCAAAGGTATGACAAAATGGTAATGATGGCTTGATCTCTACAAGGTTAATTATAAGCTTCACTCTTTTACCATGAATACTCATTTCCAGTAAACACTAACAACCAGGAAATGTGAATTATTCATGGATCTTGTTACACTGGTGGTGACAAATTCTAGGGAGAGATGCCCACCAGACTCATCTTCCCAGCATCCATGGAAAACAAAACATTACTTTCCTGGAAAATCTCCAAAAACCTAACAAGTGATAAACTACCAGACATCACAACCCATTCTGAACAATGTTGTCTCTGCTTCTTTGCACTCCCAACTGTTATTTGTGACCATATTTTCACTGGTGAATTCTAAAATCCACAAGGATGGAACTGATGCAGGGGTATGCATATGTATGCATCACCTGACACAAACAGGGTCCCTGTGACTAGAATTCTTTGGCTAGAGTGTAAAGATGAGCACCAGCTTCAGGCAGGGGGCATGAATACTCATTTTTCACACAATGGTGAGTTTATCCTAAACAAGAAATGCACACTTCTACATTCCTATACAGTGACATACTTCTGTAAGAGTAACCTGAGCCATATCAGGTTCTGCAGACACAATGTACTTCTCCTGTTATATCTGGGTAATAGGTTCATATTACACATGCAGAAAATTAAGAGCATGAAGTTATGACTAAATTGCAAGTCTGACTATGGCTGCAAACATTGATTATGGAAATGTGCAGTATCTGACAATTCTCTCAAAAATTAATGTTCCTAACAGCTCTTGGTTGAACCTCAGGGGTCTCTAAATTGCAAAATACATAGAATTGATGAACCTTGTCTTCAAAACCTCCAACAGAGCTGGAAGTGTTTTATGCAGTAGAAACAAAGCTGTCCAATAATCCTATACTTCTATTTTTGGTCACTTACACATCTAGGAATTCTGTCTGTACACAAGGGCCCAGTAAGTGTTTGTTGTTTAGAAATTTATTTGGGCAGTCTTAGCAGATTGAGGAAGATGAATGCTTGCAATTCTTTCCCGTTATAAAACCCTAAGACAAATATTTCAAAATTATTAGTGTACAGATGAAGCCTGCGTCATTGAAAGCAGCAATCAAGAAGCACTGTTATTCTGATTAACAAGTTTAAAAACTCATTAAACAACAAACCAAGCTACACCAATGTGAGCTGAGAATGGTTCAAAATACCCACAGGATTTTTATTAACTGTCCATTGAAGCAACAAATAAGTTACCAGAAAATACCTTCTTAAGGTATAAGGCAATGGAAACTATAGCTTTCATTTTAAAAAATAGGTCCTTACACAGAGCTGGAGGAGGCAGCTGTGCCACATATGATCACATATATGTCAGTTTCATTGTTTTGACCCAGGTTAAAAATCTGAAATTTTTCCAGGCTGATTAAAATAACCTCAAGTTCCATAACCATTTAAAAAAAAATATAATCACAAAACAAAAACAAACAAACAACAAAAAAAACCACCCAAAAAAAATACAAACAAAAAACCCCCCCCAAAATCCCACCAACAACAAAACAAATCATAAATAAAAAATGGATTGCAAGTAATTAACTGGTTCTGCATAAGTTTCAAATCCAACCAGCTGATTAGAACAGAAGGCAGGAAAGGAGGACTGACTGATTACAGAAACCTTCAGGGATGTGCTCTTCTGCCCCACAGCAAAATACTGATATGCTGGAATGCTCAAGACTGCTATCAAGGTAGCTAAATTCCAGATTGATTAATTGTGGAAAAATGTAAGAGGGAATACCTGAATTTGTTTTTTAAATACCTTTTAAATAATTGGTCACAGACCACAAAACAGATGGAGCAGGAGACAAAAATCAACACATCAGGCAATTCTGGTCAATTGAAAAAGATGGCGCAGAAGGTCTGAAAATAAAAATACTTTCTCCAGGATAAAGAGATAACCCTTTCATATATCAAAGCTAAGGAAGCTATTTGACCTGCCAATTTCTGTTCAA